CAGCAGGCACTCCAGTCTGGGCGACAGAGTGAGACTCCAACTCAAAAAAAAAAAAAACAATCCAGAATGTCTATGATCTGAAGTGTCTATCACTTTTCTGCTGGCATGACGCATGGGCTGCTTTGAGGGTCAGCCACAGTAGCGACAGTCAGTCTTCCCTGCTTCCTTGTCCCCACAGAACTCACTCAGGTACATCTCCATGGTGTGCAGGACATGACCTTGGAGATTGACACAGAGGTGGCAGCCAGAGTCTTGGGTTTGGAAACAGAGCACAAGGTTAAACTTTCGCTTCTTCAGACTGAGCTCAAGGAAGAAATCGAACTCTTAAAAATAGAAAACAGAAATTTACATGAGAAGTTGCAGCATGAAATCCATCTGAAAGAAGACTTGGAGACAGTAAGTAGCTATCCCTCACAGCAGATGCCTCCTGTCTTAAAGGCCTTGCTCTATTCCATTGAAGGCTTATGGTCCTTGGGTATACAGATGGGTCCTGGGGACAGCCCCAGGCTACATGGGCCCATTCACTTACATTCTTGGAACCATTCCTGGCCATGCCATCAGTGATGTTTGTATAGGACTTCATCAGGGTCAGCACAGGATTCTTTCCTCAGCTGAAGGCGAATTCTGACTCAGGAGTCCCTTCGGGAAGTTGTGCTGTGTCCATAGAGGGCTCTAGGAAGAGGTACCAGCCAAGTGACTGAGCACACTTTATTTGTGCCTCATGTGCTCCAGGCTCTTCCTGGTGCTGTGTGTTTTGTGCCTGTGGAAAGCACACTCGCTCACCCCCTTCATGGCCATTTTATGAGTGTGACAAAGTCACTGCCATGCCATTGTGAATGTTGACAAAACAATATAGCATGGACCTTCACACAGTTCTTGATGGACTTTGTTTTACAGGCAGCTCTGTTCAAGGTTTATCAGAATGTTGGAACTGTAGAGTTAAAGTGAACTGAGATTTTCATCTTTTTCATGTGTATTTTGACTAAATTTATTCCCTCAAACTCATGCTTGTGGCCAATTGTCTATATTTTGTGTTCTGCTTCTTCACCCTTATGATCTTCCCTGTGAAGATCTTTCTGGATTTTCATTCTCCATCAAGACAGAATTCACAGGAAGCTATTATGAAGTTTGATCACATGGAATTTGTTAAACTTAGGTCTTGGTGAGGACTTAAGCAAATTCGAGCTAAGGGTGAGCCCTGTGAGGGGCATGCCGGCCAGGATGTGCAGGCTAGCATGTGGCCAGCAGCCACGTGCTCACCACCGTCTTCAGTTGCCCATGTGTAGCCTTCTCAGGCATTTCTGACTGAGGACAGACTTGCCCAAGTGACTTTGATATTCATGGCTACATAAGAGGGGGACTCAAAAAAAAAAAAATGGAGGTGAGCCTTGTATTACAGGCTTCCCCTACCAGGTTAATGTTCTAGGAACCCATTAGCATCGGTGTACCAGCTAGCATTGTTGTGAGAGGCTACTTTTTTTTTTTTTAAGGTTTTTCACTGCATTTGCCCATTTCATGATGGGTGATTTATGTGTGCACCTGTCCATACCACACTGAGTGCTCAGCAGTTTTTGACCAAAAATGGCATGATTCCCATGCTCCGCCCTCCCTATTTACCCTATCCTGCTTCAAGTGGCTTTTTTTTGTTTCTCTGGATGAGAAAAGTCCTCAAAGGGAAATGTTTGCCGATGTGGAAGAGGTGACACAAAATATGGCAGAAGCAGTAAAAGGCATCAAAATGGATGAGTTCAAAAACTTTTTTAGGCAGTGGAAAAATCATCTTGATAGGTGGGATTGCATCAAACAAAGAGTACTTTGAAAATGATTGAAGTTTAAACATGTAGAAGTAAATACACAATTTTTTGTAAATTATGTTTTTTGGGGTACCCCCTCATACACCGTTTTATCTACTTATATCAATGACTAGGAAAGAAATGTGGAATTATCTCTTTTTAATTTTAATTTTTGCTTTGAGTATTTTGAGACTCTTGTTATACACATACACATTTATGATGTCTTCCTGTAAAATTTACCCTTTTATCATTAATAAAATATCCCTTTTCTCTTCTGTTGTATTCTTTGACTTGAAATAATTTTCATTTACTAATATAGTCATTCTAACCTTCATGTGCATTTTGTTTGCCTAGAGCACCTTTTTATTTATTTTAATTTAGTAAAAGTAAAGTGCCTTTCATGTGGCCAGGATATAGTTAGGGATTTTAAAATTCATTCTGATAGTCTCTGCCTTTTAATTGGCATGCTGAGTCTATTAATAGTTAATGTAATGATTGATGTGACTGGACTTAGGTCTTCCATTTTACTATTAGTTTTCTCTGTGTCTCATCTGGTTTTTTGTTGTTGTTGTTGTTACTCTTTTCCTTTCTTCTTGCCTTTTGCATTATTTAAATATTTTGTAGAATTGATTTTGATTTGTTGACTTTTATATTATACTTCTTTGTATTTTTAAAAATGTTTTTATGGTTGCTTTAAGGATTAGAATACACATTCTTAGCTTTTCACAGTCTTCTTGAAGTTAACTTTGTGTTATTTCACATAATTTTAAATCTTTATAATTGTATAGGTGCATTTATCTCATCCTCTTTGTCTTTTATGCTGCAGTTTTCATAGGTTTTGCATCCACTTATGTTGTAAATTCAATACAATGTTATAAGCTTTGAAAAATTGTATGTATTTGAAAGAAATTAAGAGAAAAAGTAGTCCACACTCATCATTTCCAGTGCTCTTCATTCCTTCCTGAGTTTGTGTTTGATATCATTTCCCTTCAGCCTGAGGGCTTCCTTTAGCATTTCTTGTTGTGTGCATCTGCTGTACACAGTTTCTCTGTTTTGAAAAGTCTTCATTTCACCTTTATTCTTGAATACTTTTACTACATAAATAAGTCTGGGGTGACAGGTTTCTTCATTCAGGATTTAAAGGTGTTGTTTGAAACCCTTGTCTGCTAATTTTATTATCTGTATCATCTTTGGGTTGGTCTCCATTGACTGTAATTTCTCTTTAGCATGGATTGTATTTTTCTGTTTATTCATGTATCAACTAATTTTGACTGTATCCTGGACATTGTGAACCATATATGTGAAGTCTCTGAATTCTGTTATGTACCTCTGAAGAGTGTTGGTTTTGCTTCAGCAGGCAGCTAAGGCAGTTAACTTGGATGATTTTGGCCTCCACACTTCATCTTCTCTGTGTTGGACTGCAGCACTGTGTTAGTTCAGTTCTTACAGCTTTAGCTGCCCTGCTTTGGGAATCTACCCCATATATGTGTAGATGAGGGCTCAGCCTAAGATTTGGGCAGGGTTCATTCCCAGATGTTGCAACTCTTGCACTCTGGTTCTGTCCTGAGGACTTTCCCTCTTATTATCCAGTTCTTATGGCACAAGTGAGATCATGGGATTTTGATGAGTGTAGCACAGATGAATCCTACTCTTAGCCTAAAAACCTGAAAAAAAGGAGAAATGGCCTGTTGCCATTCTTTCATCTGATGTTGAATCCCTTTGCAGGATCGACTTGCTTTTGCTTGTCTCCAGAGCTTTCAAGTAGTTTCTTATGTTTTATTCAGAGTTAATAGTTTTGTCCCTGAGAGGGTTGGTCTGCCTAGAGTTGCTCATTCATCACCAGAAGAAGGGCCCTAAATGTTATTTTTGGTAGCAGTTGAGGGCCATCTTGCCGCTTTTTTTTTGGTTGTGCTTTGTTTCTTATTGATGATTTTCTGTAGTTTATTGGCTTACTTTCTTCCTCTTTTTTTTTGAGTTGGAGTCTGTCACCCAGTCCAACCTGCTGAACTCAGGCGATCCTTCTGCTTCAGCCTTGCAAGTAGCTGGAACTACAGGCATGCATCACCGTACCCAGCTAATTTTTTGATTTATTGTAGAGACGAGATCTTGCCATGTTGTCCAGGCTGGTCTTGAACCCGTGGGCTCAGGCAGTCCTCTCGCCTCCACCTCCCAAAGTGCTGGGATTATAGGTGTGAGTCACTGCACCTGGCCATCTGCCTTTAAAATGTTTAGTTTTAGTTTATGGACTTCTTGCTCAAGTTCTTTCTATATCCTGGAATATACATTGTATAGATCAGGGAGACTTGGACTTTTCATACTGTGTTTCTGTCCTCTCTCTTGGACCTCCGGTTGTACTTGGCTGATGGTGGTTCTATGCCTTCTGTTGTAGTGGGCATTCTTTTTGGCATACACATGTTTTCCCTGCTGTTGGTCTGGGTCTAAACAAAGATGACCTCTAGCTCCTGCCTTTGATTTGCTGGAGTGTGTTGTTTTCAGTTGCTAGTTTTTGTCAAGGCCTACTAGCTCCAGAGATGAGGAACAGTTGGATCTATGTGCCAAGATGTGGAAATCATTTTACTTAGGCTTAGTTTAGTTTTACACTTGTTCTTTGTAGGTTTCTTCCATTCTCATTAACTTAAGAAACATTTCCATTGCTGTGTTCAGCATAATGTCTTTGTCGTGTGAAATTTCCTCATTTTCAGAGATGGATTGGGGTCATTGCTTCCAATAGCTGTTCCTTTAATTTATTTTCTCTTAAATATGTTATCTATAGGTAAAACATAATTTAGTTGAAGTCCACCAGGAAGAACTAAATAAAGCTAAGGAGAAGATTGAGCTAATGAAACAAGCAATCAAAAAAAAAGAAGCAGACTGGAAAGTTGTACGTGAGGATTTAAGGAGAGAAGCTGAAGAGAAGCTAACATTAATGCTTCTTGAACTGAGAGAAAAGGCTGAATCTGAGAAGCATTTAATAATAAACAAGTTTGAGCTTCGAGAAACTGAAATGAGGCACCTTCAGGACCAGCAGGCAGCTCAGATCCTGGACCTGGAGAAGTCCCTGATGGAGCAGCAGGGCCGCCTGCAGCAGCTGGAGCAGGGACTTGCCACGGATGAGGCGCAGGACGTGGAGCACACCATGCTCCAGGTTAAGGAGGACTGTGCCCTCCAACTGATGATGGCCCGGAACAGGTGGGTGGCGTGGGGGCAGTGAATTTGGTATGGAGCTGTCTCCTGGTCCCTGTAAGACCAGACGCTGAATGAAGGAGAAGGGCAGACCTTCTGGGACAATCTGCTGTGGGCTTATTTGGCAGAAAGTTCTGGAAGGACATAGAGCCAGGGTGACGTACTGAGTTTTCACCCTAAAATCACAATGTGACAGCTTTGTGCTTATAACAGAGACATGCTGGCAGGGACCATATTCAAACCTCCATGGAGCCTGTATTCCTTGGATGGATGTTGGCTTGCATCTGTTACTTCTCCATTGTTGTTTAGCAGAACCTTAAACCTCATTTATGAGGTAACATATGAACATGCAGTTTATCCATATAAGTATTTTTTGTGTTTTTAAGTTAAATAAATAATTTTTAAAAGTAAGCATTGTTTTCTAAAGTATGCACATAACTGAAATTTTAAATAAATTTAGTATGTGATCGTGTTCTTTGCCTCTTTTGGCACTAATTCCTTTTGCAAGCCTTAGTCCCTGGGGCTGTGGCAGCTGGATGTTGTGGTCTTTGGACCTGCTGTTCATTCTTGTTCTTTTGCCCTGCCTAGCCTTCCCCAGCATATAGGATATGCAGGTGTGTTCTGCTCTGGGGTTGGAGAACTCACATTCAAATTCAGACCCACCACATCTGAGGTGCATAAACATGGGCTAAATGTTCAACCTCACAATACCATGGTGCTTGTAGGACAAAGGAGATAATCTATGAAAAGCACTTTTATGTTATCTGGCAACTTGTTAGCACATAAAGATAATTATACCTGTTGTTATTTGTGTGAACTTAAAGCACATTCATAATGTGTCATTAGTGCCCGCTAGAGGACCTTTCCAAGATGCTTCCAGTTCCAGGCACTTCTTGCATCCTGCTAGGCTTCTCTGGTCCTTTCCTTAGAGTTTTTTTTGAGTTGGAGTCTCACTCTGTCACCCAGACTGGAGTGCAGTGGCCGCTCCCGGCCACCACAGCCTCGACCTGATGGGCTCCGGCGATCGATCCTCCTCAGCTTTCCGAGTAGCCAGAATTACAGGCGCGCGCTACCACGCCCGGCTAATTTTTGATTTATTGTAGAGATGAGGTCTCGCCTGCCCAAGCGGGTCTCCAACCCGCGGGCTCAGGCAATCCACTCACCTCAGCCTCCCAAAGGCGCGGGATTACAGGCTGAGCCACCGAGCCCGGCTCCTTAGAGTTCTTAATGCCCATCTCTGTCTTTGGAATCCAGTGCCACCTGCAGTTCTCTTTGAATTAAAGACAGTTCTCAGGTCTCTCTCTTCCCCATGTGTCTGTGAGTAATGTTTGTTCCTCCTGCGGTGCTGAGATTACCTGTGGACTCTCTATCTGGGGCCTTGGTTGGATGCCCTGTTGAGGATAAATGTTCATGCCTGCTGTGCCGTGGCTCCTGTAGGGGTGTGTGTGTAGTTTCTCCTGTGGGTGTTGTCTTCCCTTTGGTCTGTGACCTGGTGGTCACATGGCTCTGACTTTTGGCCTCTGAGCAGCCCTGTCTTCGCACTCTCACCTCTTCATGGTGGTGGAGATCTCAGGCTGTTTGTAGCAGAGAGAGAAGGAGCCAGAACAGTTACGGGAAGGATGATTTGAACAATTGAAGTGGTGTTTCCTGTGGGAAGTGTGACTTGGGTTTGTGAGGTTCGGTGCTTCATGGATGTGTATCTTGCTGTTCTGTGTTCACTTTGAATGTCACCTCAGGTTTTTAGAAGAGCGTAAGGAAATCACAGAGAAGTTCAGTGCGGAACAAGATGCTTTCCTGCGAGAGGCCCAGAAGAAGCATGCCCACGAGCTCCAGCTACTTCAGGAGAGGCAACAGGAGAGGCTCTTGGCTGTGACGACAGAGCTCGAGGCCAGACACCAGGCAGAACTTGGTGAGCTGGCAGCTTCCTTAGAGAGTGAGCGGTGGACCCTGCTAGATGCTCGTGTGGCTGAACTGCAGACAAAACATGCCGCTGAAATCAGTGCTTTGGAAACAAGACACTTGTCAAACCTAGATTCCCTGGAGTCCTGTTACCTGTCTGAAATTCAGACCATCCGGGATGAGCACAGGCAGGCTCTAGAACTTTTACAAGCAGACTTTGAGGAGCAACTGCAGAAAAAGGACTCTTTTCATCACATAATTTTGACTCAGGAGTTGGAGAAACTCATGCTGAAACATGACAAGGAGCTTCAGTCTGCAAAGGACAGCCTAAGAATGGAAATGAGCACTGAGCATGTTGAGAGTCTGAGAGCCCTGGCCCACAAGCTGCAGGGAGCACATCAGGTGAGCGTGGGCTATATGCTCGTGTGTTTTAGCTGCACATGTGTATGTGTGAATAGGTGTGTCTGTGTCCTGCACACATAGAAGATATCAGTAGTGACTTGTGGTACCGTGTGAAATGGGCTAAAAACAGTGAGTTTTAGGGTTATTTTGATTATAGACTCCCTGATAAAGGCTTTGATTTCTGATCTTAGAAACATGTACATATGTGGGAGTGCACAGAATTCTGTGTAGGATTTCCTGGGCTTTGGGGTGTTCCTCAAGGCTGACCTGAACCTCTGCAGGAAGACTTGGTTTCCAGGCCACAGCAGATAGATCTAATTTTCTGTTATGTATACAGAGCCTCAGTCCCCTCCTTTGTTGACATTTCCAGTTTCCAGAAATTAAATCCTTTTGTCACATTTCAAAAGTAGGGATGGTCTATTTGGCAGACACTTTAAGTTTTTAGCATGGAGGGGAATTTTTTTTTTTGAGTCAGAGTTTCACTCTGTTGCTCAGGCTGGAGTGTATTGGCACGCTGCTCACGACCACTGCAGCCTCAACCTGCTGAGCACAGGTGATCCTTCCATCTCAGCCTTCCAAGTAGCTGGAACTACAGGCGCATGCCACCATACCCAGCTAATTATTTATTTATTTATTGTAGAGATGAGGTCTCACCAAGTTGCCCAGGCTGGTCTTGAACCCCTGGGCTCAGACAATCCTCTCGCCTCGGCCTCCCAAAATGCTGGGATTACAGGCTTGAGCCACCGCACCTGTCATGAAGGGAAATTTCTAGTAACGTCCCTTTGCCCTAGGCTGGCACCCAACAGCAGAATCAATGGTGCCTGTGACTCACAAATAGGACATGATTATCTGACTTAAAACCTGTCTCACCTTGCACCCCTTGCACTTCCTCTATCCTCGCTAAGGTCTCTGGAGTTTTCTCTCCTTGAAATGGTTGAGGCGGCTCTGCTGGGCACTTGGGTGGCTGGGGTACCAGTCTGTCTCCCTGCAGGAAGGGGCTATGGATTTATTGTCCTGGAGTCAGTAGGGGATGATCTAGAGCTGATGATGCAAATAGAAATGCCTATTCTGGCAAATTATACTTTGTTAAATATTTAAGAAGTACATATCCCAAATGGTAACTTAGGGAGTTTCAGGCTTGGATAAAAACACAAGTTCCAGATGGCAGTGTCCATTTTCTGATGCAGGCGCACTGTGTGTGGAAACATGTTTTTTGTGGATGTGTGCTGTGTATGAAGGCGCACTGTGTGTGCACATGTGCTGTGTGTGCACATGCACTGTGTATGCAGATGTGCTGTGTGTGCAGAGACGTGCTGTGTGTGGAGGTGTGCAGTGAATGCAGGCACCCTGTATGTGTGGGAAGATGTGTTGTGTGTGGAGGTGTGCCGTGTGTGCAGGCGCCCAGTGTGTGTGGAGATGTACTATGTGAAGATGTGCCAGGAGAGTTTCCTCTTTCCCTGACTGGGGCTGATAAGTGTGAGATTCAGCACTCAGAATAGAAGAAAATAAGTAAACTTGCTTTAGTAACTGTGAGGACTTCACTTATGTTTAACTTGCTGGTTTCATGTGGCCTAAGGTTGTGATCGTGGGAGAATTCCTAGAAAGCAAAGCATGTTAGGCCCCCTCCCTGATAATGGGTCGATTATCAGGGACCCATAGAGACAATTGCCTATCTTGGGCCTCTGTGTCTCACCCTTGGGTTTACCAGGTGTCAGAGGAGTCTTAGGGATGTGCTATTTTTTTCTTTTTGTAAAAAGATGGGGTCTTGCAGTGTTGCTCAGTATGGTCTCAAACTCCTGGCCTCCAATGATTCTCTCACCTTGGCCTTCTGAGTAGCTGGGACAACAGGGTGAGCCACTGTGCCTGGCTCTGGATATGCTTCTTGGGACATGACCTCGGGGTGGGCCCCTTTCCTCTTGACCATAGTCTTTAGACATCAGCTTCAGCTTCTTTTCATTCCCAGCTTTGATGACAGGTAAACATGCTTTGGAGAACAGCCCTTGTTTCCAACCTGTGAATTTAAGTTAGATTTTCTTGGTTCATCTGATTTAAAGGAAATGAAGTTCTAAGAGAACATTCAAAAAAGAAGAACATGCAGATCATACTATGTATCTTAGATGACAGCTTGACTTTAGAGGTCACAAAACCTGCTTGTAGGAAGCATGAGGAATGCATATCACTTTGAGGTGTGAGAAGGTATGTGGGGACGCTGTGCCCGCGCGTGGACCCGCAACACTTCCAGATGCTTTCTCCTCAGGAGGAGCTGGCTGCTGCCCTGCGCAATCAGAGGCACCTGCTGGAGGAGGAGAGAATAGCAGCATTGGACACTGAGGTCCTGCTCCTGGAGCAACAGCACCAAGCAACCCTGCAGGAGCTTGGAGATGCACACATGGCTAAGATGCAGAAGGAGCGAGTAGAGCAGACAGAACTCGGGGAGCAGAAGGCTCCACAGGAGGAGGCTGCACAGGTGAGGACTCTGGGTGTGGGTCCTACAGGGCTGCCTCCCAAGCTTCTCCGTCCCCAAGTTTTCATTGGAGCACTGTGGCATTCACACATGTGCTTGGCAATGCATTGCTGGGTTGTGGGGCTGTGAGGTCTGTGCTCAAACACGCAGCTTCTTGGGGTGTGCAGCGTGTTGCCCGGCTAACAAGACCAACACAGAAGCAGGCACTTATGAAGTATCCCAATTGGCCTCCCCTCCCATCAGGGCCTTTGGAGGGTAGGCCTCTGACTATATCTACAGGTAGTAGGTGGCACTTGGAGAGACTGCAGGTCTGTCCTGAAGACCACTTGGCAGCAGGATGCAAAAGAGGGTGGAGGCGAACATGTTGTTTTAGGCAAGAGGTGCCCAGAGTCTGGGAGGTACAGGAATGAGGGGCCCGGGCCTCCTCCTGTGTGCGGTACCAGGCATGTGGGTGGGTGGCAAGGGATGGGCCCCTCTAATGTGGGTCTGTTGAGGGTGAGGTGGAGGGGTGGGGAGAGCCTAGGAACTGACAGAGGAGGCCATGGCTGATTGGGAGATGTCATCCCCACGAGAAGGATAAACTTGGCCCAGGCGGTGGCTAGGGCATTTGTGACTTGTGTGTTCATGAAGCAAGTTTAGATGCTCTTGGGATTTGTACACAGTGTGGTTTCTTTTTCAGACTTTTGAAACCTTTTATTAGAATATATGTAAGTATTTGTGTTAAATTATGTCAGATGAAGTCTAACAGAGCAATTAGAATCCCTCTTGGACTCCTGAGGCTGCCATGGAGGGAGCCTGGCCAGGGTCCTTGCAACCTGCTGTGGGTCCTGTTCCTCAGTTTCCTTGCATCTGTGCAGATCCACGCCCAACCAGCCGGGTCTCACCATATAAGAATTTGTATACCTGATCCCACCAAGGCATCGTAGTGTCACCGGTTGGCTGGCACACATAACATGCACATACAGTGTGTGCAGACACTGTACACACACATGTAATGCTGTGTACTCTACTGGCAGGCTGAAGAAGCCCTTGGAGTCCTTCCAAGGACCCTGCCTAGACATCCCTCAGGCCCTCCTCTTCTGTGTTCTTAGGTCTAAAGTTTGTGTCTTCTTGTCTTTCTGGAGGTGGAGGATAAGAATCTGTGTATGGAATACTTCACACATAACTTCTTGGTATTTTATTTGAAGCATTATGTATGAATTTATTGAGATGATTAGTTTTTGTAAGTACTGTTTCTAGGGGGCTTTTAAAACAAGGACATACGAATATCTCATTTCTAACCATGAAATAAGGCCCTTGCATTTGCTTAGGTTTGTTAGAGTGACTGCTCTTGTTTATGTGTGACATATTGACTGATTTCTGAAATTAGAATTTAAACTTTCTTCACATGGCAGTTCCCAGAATGAGTGTTAGAGGTTACAAAAAGGAAGGGAAGCAAAAAGAGAAAATTTCTCCCTTTTTTTAAAGTCTAGGTGTTGGTGTTCTTTTAGAGATTTGTTCCTTGTTCCCTTTAGTCTTGAGGGGCCGTCTCAGAGGGGTCTTGTGTCTGCCACAAAGATGCCTGACCTGCAAGGCTCCTTGGGGATTTACCTGCCAGGACCTCATAGTTCACGGTTGCTCTTTTCACTCATGTTCTTGTCACTTCTGCTTTGATTGAAAGGCAGGTTCCACAGGGAATTCTTCGAGAAGGCCAGCCCTTTTCTTTGTGTCTGAGAAGCTGGAATTTACCTGTAGGGCAGATGCCTGCAGCTCCGTTGTGTTGTGGTTTGCAGATTCGGATTGGTGGGAACAGCTCTGGGTAGATTAGTGACCCCTAGGGTGGATGCCATCCCCCTTGGTCCCAGGGCACTGTCCTGAGACCTGCCGGCATGCTGAGGGTATCTTTGTAGTTCCATCTTCTCTGAATAAATCAGATTGTGTTGTTTCTTTTTCCAGGACTCACACTAAAGAAAATCTGTCCAGTTCTTGCTATGTTCTCTTGCCCATTTTATCTGTCTGTAACACAAAGAGCTGTTCGCTGTTTGAAAACGTGTGTTTTTTGTGTTCTTCGGTTCAGTGCTGTGTTCCTCTAGGGTAACTGTGGTCCAAATCCTCCTAGGGCATCTTTGAAGTATTTTTCTAGTTGTGGTATAAGTTTACCCAAGTACACTATACATTTACTTCATTACCATGGGTATGCATGTTACTGTTTTATGTGATCGTTTTTGTCCAGCTGATTTCACAGAACAAAACAATTGGGTCTTGGGGAGGTAGGGTATGCTCTTTTATGTTAACTTTTTGTTGAGGAAAATTCCAACATATACTAAAAAATAATAATTAGCAAACCCTCTGGTCCCATTTCCTAGTGAGATACATGCTTAGTGCATTTGTACCCCTGTCTTCCCGATTATTTAGAAGCAAAACCAGACATCACATGTTTCATCTTTCCACAGTTCAGTGTCTGTTAAGTCAGGCATTTTCCCCTAGTATAATGCCATTCTAGCTACTCAAATCCACAGCAGTCTCTGCATTTCATCACATACCCAGTCCAGTGCCA